GTCTCCTGATGGTTTGCCAGAATTGCCTCAAGGCTGACCGAAAATCTTGCTCCATGGCCTAACCGAGTAATCAACACCTGAGGTTTTGCTTTAGCTACTGCTAGGACCACATTGCTTTACTCGGCATCTTCGTATTTGTCAGCTGTCTCCAAAATCCCACAAGCCAGCCAAGCTTGATAAGACTCTTTTTTTCAGCTGCCTTCACCTCTGACATCTGGTCGGTAAATTACCACCATAACAAACACCAACCACCTTGGGGCCACAACTCTATATTGCAGCTTCGACAATAGGGCTGTGCAACATGGTCTACACGGACTCAGTGTCTACAGCCTCCTTTGTAATGCTGTTGAAGTTGGATTTGAAGATCTCACAGACTGGGACCTCTGTCAGATGCTGCTAATGCACCGTCATTACCCTACACTACATCAGGTCCATCCAGCATCCTCCCCCACCACCAGATTCAGCTCACTATCAGGTGATGATCAGTTGACAGCTCTACTCCCTTCTTGTTCAAACATGCAGCCACAGATCTAATGAAACATACACATGTACTATATAGCGGTAGGTCTGATAATACAATTAAAAAATCAATGATCGACCTGCGACCTAGGGCAGCCTGGTGCCAGGTGCACTTGTGGACCCCCCTATTCTCACATATGGTGTGTGTTATGGGTAAACAGTGGTTAACACAGATGTCCACATAAAAAGTCCCCCGGAGGGGACAATGGAGCCCAGCTTGGGTACCTTCAAGCACCACATCCATGGATTCCAAGAAGACTGGGTACACTGAGCAGTAAGTGCAAATGATCTGAAGGTGCAGAGAAGCAGTCCTCTTGTCCACCACTGAAAACTCCCAACGTGAAGGCACTGAACCACTACAGTCCGTCCTGCGAGTGGTGGGCCCACAGACCGACCCATGTATTGCTTTAACGCAATTTCCAGCCTCGGTCCATCACCCGTGTCCCTCGATTGTTTCTTCATCACAGGGGTTTTTCTGAAACCCATTATCTGGTCTCTCACCATGGATGAGTGGATGTATTGTTTGTCTTAGAAAAACCAGCTAACAGGAAATATCTTAATGCACAATAACTTATTTTTCTTTAATACTTTATATTGATACTTTTAGTAAGGTTAATCATCTAAATACTTCTTCCACCACTGCTGAACTGTTAATCCACAGAAGTGTGATTATCTCTAAAACTGAACAGCCAAATGCTCAGGCGACACTGACTATAGCATCATAACATTCGTGTCTGCCTTTATCAAAAGAAGAGTAGTTATCTGGAGTGCTTGTTTACATTCTCTTTTCAGAGGCTTACCCAAGGCCTCACTGACTTCATTGTGTTTGTTTCACTAACTGTGTCCAAGCCAGATTGCTATCGCTCCACTGCTTTGTTTTTTTGCTCTGAGTGAGTGACTGACATCATTGACGACTGTTTACCTTTTTCAGCATCATGAGCTGTGACAAAAACATTGCCTCTCTGTGTAAGTGGGAGGGGAGAAAAGAGATTGGTGCTTTTGTAAATAAACAAATACATTTAATATATCAATAAATCACAGGAAAAATATCTTTTTAGAACTGTGCTAGATTTTCATATTCTGCCCATTTAGTTCATGCAGTTTTACATTAAAATATCTAATTTTAAATCTTTCTTAATGTTGTGCTATTTTGATATAAATGCCTGCAATTTTCACTTAAAAATCCAGATTAAAGAAGGATATTATATTCAATCTACAAAAGCACAGAAAACCCCCAAAACAAACAAAACAACAACAAATTGAAATTATTGTATTTGCGTTTTCCAATATAGCCCTATGCTTAACATGTCTTACAAAAGTTGAGATATACAGTAAAATATTAAAAATGAATTCAAAAACAAATGTACCCGGTAAAAAACAACAACAAAAAAACAACAAAAAACAAATTGCGCAAATAAGCGATTCATTTGTAATATTGTTGCATATGAAGAAACAGAGATAAGAAGTTCAGCACTATGAAAAACTGCCAGGTCTCTTCCTGTTTAAAGTAAGTTCTTGCTCCCCACTGTCACTAAACACTTGCTCACAGGAAACTGTCACAGTGTAGAGGCTCTCTCTCTATTACTACCACCGTGGATGGATGGATGGACTAACTGTACAAATAGTTAAGTCATTTAAAATTATTTTCCTTACAAATGTTCTAAATTAGTTTCTCATTGTTATTTGCACAGTATTTGTGTATTCAATAAGCAGCGCTATTATTTTTAAGATGTTTTGTTTTAAATGAGAGAAATCTCTGCATACAAAGACCAAGGCAAGGACTACTGAACAGCTAAAATCCTACACTCACAGTTAAAGTACAACTTTTCAACTATTTTTAAAAGCCAAACAGCTAATCAACAAATCACATAGCAGCTCAATGCATTTATGTGTGTAGACATGTCAAGACAGCCTGCTAAAGGTATAACCGAGCAATGGATTGGAGAAGAAAGGTGATTTAAGTCACTTTGAGTCTGCCATGTTTATAGGCTTCAGATAAGCTAATCTGAGTATTTCAGAATGTACTAATCTCTTGGGATTTCCCACACAATCATCTCTAGGGTTTAAAGAGACTGGTCTGAAAAAAAGAAAGTCTCCCGTGAGTGGATGAGAATACCTTACTGATGCAGGAGATGCGACAATGGCCAGATTACTTCATGCTGATAAAGAAGACAAAAGTAGCTCAAATAAGCACTTCTTACAACCAAGCAAGAAAGTGAAAAAGAGCATCTATGAACACACAAGGTGTCAAACCAAAGCAGATGGGTTACAGCAGCAAAAGACCGTGCTGCTGCCCCTCCTGTCAGCTAATATTTGAAAAGTCTCTTCTAAATGGAACAGTAAACAATTTTTAGAAATGTTGCCTGGTCTGATGAATCTCGATTTTTACTGCAACATCTGGACGGTAGGGTCAAAATCTGAAAGCTGAACATGAAAGCATAGATGCAACCTGCCTAATATCAACGGTCCAGACTGAAGCTGGTGATGTAACAGTTTGGGGCATAGTTTTTGGCACACTTTGGGCCCCTTATTACTGAGTGTTGTTTAAATGCCAGAGACTTCCTGGGTATTGTTGCTGATCGCTTTATGATCACACTGTACCTATCTTCTGATGGGTGCTACCAGCAGTAAAATGCTCCATGTGACAAAGCTCAGATCATCTTAGACTGCCTTACCAGGGTTTTGTTTATCTCACCAGGTTAAGGAGACGACGCATACGCCACAAGGTTCATGCAGCGACTGGTGACTGAATCTGCTCTGGACCGTTTGTTGCCTTCCACCTGCTCTCTTCTATTTTCCTCTCACAATAATAACTGTTTCTATCATAAAAAAGGTGAAAAGATCTGAATACATTTTCTCAGTCTAAACTTTGTACAATTTTCAACTTGACATCCATTTTCTTCTTTTTATCCGATGCAGGATTCCAAGATAGCTGGAGACTCTCCCAGATGTCATAGCACAAGAGGTGGCTGGACAAGATTCCAGTCTGTCACATGTTTAACCCACTGAGATGGACAGCTATTCCCACCTTTGCATCTATGGCTAATATAGAATGAGCAGTTAACCTAACATGCATGTGTTTGCACTGTGGGGAGAAGCTGGAGTACCTGGAGAGAATCCATAGAGATCCCGCAGGGCCGGTGAATTTGAATATAGGACCCACATGCTGTGAGCTGACAGAGCTAACCACTGCAGCATTGTGCCACTCAAATCACTTTTCAAAGTACTGCATTCTGTGTCCAACTGTTTGTGGAAAAGTATATGTTTTTTGAAGAATGAGATATTCTTTATAATAAGGGTCGATTTTGCTATAAGTCTCTCTTTTGTTTTTGTGTCTGGCAACAACCATGACTGTAAGTCTCTGTGAGAAACGGTTTCTTTTTTAGAATTCATCAGCAGCTCTGGAAGGATGTATTTGAGTATTTCCTTAGATCTTTTATACCACTTTGGCTTACCTACAAGCTTAATCCTGTGATGGCTTAATCCTGTAGAAGTGGGCAGAACTATCTCCAATTATTGACGAACAGCTGAAAAGGTGTGTCTTGTTGTATTAGCTATTTATAATTAAGTATTTTTTAAGGTAAAAGTATCATTATTAGTATTGGCAATACTTGCTCTGTATTTACTTGGTACTGGATGGATATTGAAATTCACAGTATCACACAGCACTATAATCCTGACAAGGAGACAAACCTCAGTGTTTAGCAACTCTGTGAAACAACTCCAGAGAAAGAGAAAAACAGCAAGAACCACTCATCAAGATCAGCCAGAAATCGGTTCCTTTCTACAGCAGTGGTTGACCAAAGCAAGAAATGGGAAAAGGCAACACAAAGTCTGCAACAAAGACTACGAGTAAATGATAATTTTTAAGTTTTTGGCATAATGTGTTCCCATTACATTTAGTCTTTTCTACACTTTATGCTCAATAAAGTGTTTTACACTTTGTTAAACAATGGTGATTTTAATCCATTGTGCTGTAAAATCCAATATGGCTACACATTTGAAAAATGATTCATTATTCACTGTAAAGTGATGCTTAGTTTTTATACTTCCAATTAATCCCAAACAGAATAATAGAAAATGGAAACAAGAATTTCAGGAGGATGATCTGTCATCAGTTATGTAACTAACATGTGTGAAAGTTGTCATTTTCACATATATTCCAAGAACCTTCTGTTTTCATCAGCTTTACTGACCATTTCAACAGCTAACAACACTTTTTTTTCTACAAGCATTAAGTCCCTCTGAACACCGCAGTTTTCAGTGGGTGAAACATTTCATTACTTATCCAGGAATTTACTAAGGCATTTTTTATTGCACAGTTCGTTATCGAATGCTTTATTTCGACTCTTCTGGTCCTTCATATCTTATATATTATTAAACGGCTTATGCAGCAGGTTCACTTTAATTCGGTGTTTCTGTGATCTTTGCAGTGGCAAACTGGGGGCAAAGACACCCCCCTAGCGCCATGTATCCGCACTGCACCCCCTCACGCCGAGAAGCACTGCCCCCTGTGAAATTCCTGACTGCCAGGGTGATTCCTACGGTTACCAAGGGCTGCTTCCTACTGTAGCTTACCGTGTGCTGTGTGGCAAACTATTTTATAACCTCTGGATAAATTATCAACCACGGGAATGATATCCCCAGCGATAAAGGGTGAGTTATGATTTAATTACACCTGAGATTGTGTCGGCCATGTGTGTTCTGCAGATGTTAGTGTGCGGGCTCAGCAGTGTGTGAAGCTCAGTCTTATAGTCTATAACGTCCTGTCTTGATTCCTGTCGCCTACAAAAATGTGTGTTAGCGTGCCTACCTGTTTTTCCATACAGACAACAAAGGCAGTTATCCGCTGAATGTGTGTTTTTAGAGAAAGACTTGGGAACACGCCCTTGCTTTTTTCCTACCTGTATGAAAGGAAATATTTTTAACTTAATTTCAATACCCTTAAACTGCGGTCAGACCCACGCACAAATCCACACTCGGAAAGTTACCCGTATTTGTTCATAATTGGCCGCAGTTTGGAGTTTCTAATCGTCTCGGATCGAGTTGATATACATATTCATTACTGTCGCTCTCTCAAACACAAACTCCCAGAGCTACTGAGAGAGAGAGAAAAGTGAACTATGTTTCATACGGATGGCTGGATCCGCATAACCCCGGCTGGTGCACCGCAGCTCAGCTGTTAACTGTAACCTGCGGCGGCAGAGTTGTCGCGGACGGATACATAATAACACCTCAAGCCTCGAAAAGCAACCAGTAAACCGAAAAACACCCAGTTCGCCCGCCTGTGACCACTGCAGCACGCTTTGGGTATTCAGCTCGTCGTAAATATAGGCTACAGAGGTTAGGGAGAGTAAGAGGGGGGCGTCCGAGGCCACGGTAAAACCGGGGAGTTTCCTGCCACTATAGGTCCGCCTGCGTGCCGGGTCACAGGTAGAGGTTGGGCGGGTAACCTTGCTCAGCAGCTCCACCAAACCGAAACATGACTTCTGTTTAGCTAAATGGTATCACTTTCCCTCGTGTAGGCTTAGGCTAGGTAGCTTTTGCTTTCGTGTGTGACTTGCTAAAATACTCCACGAGGGGAAAAAAAGTCTAAATTAAGTTAAGCAGGTGCTTATGTGGCACGTGCAAGTTAGGTGACTTCTAATTAATAACCTGTAATGGTTTCTGTTGAGCTGCTTTCATCATCAGTGGTTGCCTGCTCTGTCTACAGGCCAGTGTGTGATTGACAGAAACTTTAATTTCCAGTGAAACACACCAGGCCATCCTTTGCCATGTTAGTTTAGACAGGGTAGCATCTAATTATCAGCTGCTGTAATAATAAAAAAAAAAAAGAAAGCTCATTACTATGAGCCAAAGACTGCAAACTGTAATAAATTATACAAAACGGAGCAGAACAACAGATTTGTGGCACTTAGACTTGCTGAAGTACTTGTTAAACGACTAACCACTTGGTTAGCCTTAATAAAAAAGTTTTATATATAATTACAGTCAGTCATATAAAGGCTGATGTTTTCACACAGTTTCTGAAATCTGTCTAAATAAAAGCTGCATGAGTGATGCAGTGAGATCCCTGACCGACATTACATTGTGACAACAGCTTCCTCTCCATAAATTATGTAAGACCCTCATCATCATAAGGACTTTATATTCACAGTGCACATGGATTCTTTTTCATTTCCTGCTCTAGAACAGTGTCTCTGATTTCCTCAAAGCTTATCAATGGTCTGTCTGTCATATGTAAAATGTGTGTTTGACAGTGCGTCTGTGTATACAGCATATTTGGACCTAATTCTTAAGCTTGACATCAGAATTACTTCTGTAAAATAACCATGAACTCTAGGCATTGCATTAGCTGGTTAGAAATCAATGAGCTCTGCAGAATTCCTTACATTGCTGGGGTGGTTCTGATAAACAAGAGGCTCAGCCACTTTACATGCACTGCTGCAGTATAATGTGATGTGCTGAATAGCTTCTATTTAAATAGTTACACGAGCTGTTCAAGTAGAATCATAGAGGAAACAGGGCTTTCTCTAAGAAAAATAAGATTTGTGTAATCATGTTAATTTATGTCGTTCATGTGAAGGTGGAGTGATTTTTTTTTTATTCTTTTTACTTTTCTACTGCTTTTAGTACAACAATAATGATTGTGGAATGATTTTTTTAAAAGTATGCTGGCATTTTCACATGTCCAGTGGTTGAAATAATAAAATATTTAAAATGTAGTTAATAATTCATAGTGACATTTTGAGACTTATTGTCACTATTCTGCCTGGAAGAAAACAAACCAAAGAAAATACTGTAGTTATTTATGAGACTTCTAAACGACTCGGTGAGTTTTGGGGAAAGCTTATGGTTTATGTCAAATTAGTCCCTTTCGCAATGATAACCATGTTTTGAAAAGCTTATCTTGCTTATCTTGCTGACTGAAAGCCCTGAAGGCAAACCTCTCATATGTGTGGTCTTTTTTTCCCCTTGTCTTACAAAGCCATGACATCACAAAGAGGTAACTGATCAGTTTAAACGATTGTCCTGGAGCAACGTCAGATACACAGGTAACCAGATGAAGTGTAAACAGAAACGCCTTTTGTAGTGACTGTTCGCGTTTACAACAGCTTCTTTAATGGGGTTGAAGAGGATCCTAAACTGGATATATTTAAAGTCTCACATCAGTGAGGCTTGTGTTTCCGAAGATTAGCAGAACATCTGATTTTCATTCTGCATAATGGGAATTATTTTGCTTTGACAGGATAAAACGAAGAAGTTCACTACTCCTTCATAACCTATTGAAACTTTTTTTTTTCGATCGGCATATTAATGTAGGGAAGCACTTTGAAAACAGAATTTTTTTTTAAAAGGGCTGCTTCCTGTTAAAAAGGAGGGAGCAGTTGCCAATAGCTAATTTGTGTAATTCAAGATGTAAATAGTTTTTAAAAATTCTTTTAAAGTAGGATTGGGCATTTCATTCATTCCCACAGCATGTCTTTATCATGTCTTCTTCCTCTCACCCCAACTGGTCACGGCAGATGGCCCCGCCCCTCCCTGAGCCTGGTTCTGCTGGATGTTTCTTCCTGTTGAAAGGAAGTTTTTCCTTCCCACTGTCGCCAAAGTGCTTGCTCATAGGGGGTCATATGATTGTTGGACCTTTCTCTGTATTTATGATTGTAGGGTCTACCTTACAATATAAAGCGCCTTGAGGCAACTGATGTTGTGATTTGGTGTTGTATAAATAAAATTGAATTGAATAGAGTCAAAAGTGAATCGAAAGCTAATACCACCAATCTGTAAAATGTTCCATTAATCACGATTTTGTTTGAGGGCATATTGCCCAGCCCTATTGTATAAACCAGGAGCTTCATATCAACTAGATAATCTGACTGTAGATATTGCGTTCATCAGAAGTCAGTTTATTGACTGACCACCGAGGACCAGCTCATTGCGGTTGCCTAGTAACACCGGCACAAAACTGCAACAGGTAAAGGCCAGCTGTGAATCAAGCATAAGGTGTGGAGTCGGTGTCAGTGAGCCTGCCTCTCTGCAGCAGCGCGAAATGTGCACGTTGAAAAAGTGTGAAGTCAGAAATCCTCAGATTCCAAATATGAAATGCTCGTGGAGTCTGTAAGTGTCTGCTGCTGGTTCTCTGGCTCTGTTTTCATCTCAGTGGTTTTCTCTGGGCTTCACTTTCATGACACTTGGGAATGTTGATTGAATTCCACAGAATTAATGGCCCTCATTTGCTCAGTCATAGATGACAACACAGCGAGCTTGTGACCGGGGCCAGACTTCCACTGCGACATGCTTCCCTCGTGTCCCGGCACGCCTCATGACTGCAGCCGTCATTGAGCTGCCTTCTCTCCAAGTGAAGTGAAGTCGGTACTTTGAACTGGGAGCTGCTCTGGTCTTATTACAGCGAAGGGAGATGTTTTATCATGGTGGTAATAGAGGCAGTGCTGCGAGGGCCTTGTGGCTATGGAGCAGGGCGGCGAGGGAGAAGGAATGAGCTGCGTGCTGATGTTGGGGAGCAACTGAGCACGCTAATTTGTATTGTAATGAATGACAAAAACATCTTTGTGTAGAGATTATGTCAAAAGTCAGGTTATCCAGTTATTTTATAACTAAGAGATAATCCCCAGTTTAGCACTAAGGCCATCACATGCTGAAGAACTGATTAAACACGGGGCTCATACATAATTAGCTCTTAATAACGTCTTATAGGGATGCACAAATTGTGACAGTCTGGGCTGATGGAGATGTTCATCCACCTGTTAGAAAGTCTGTCAGCGCGTCATCACATCATTTTTTTGACCTTTATCAAGCACAACATTGATGAGGAGCAACACATAAACCTCTGTTATCAGTAAATACCTCTCTACCCGCATCAAATACTGATACTTGGTCAATACTTCTGTGCATCCTGAGTATATTTCGTCAAACCTGCATCACTCAGAGATGAGATGTTCACTACAGATTTGGCCCTAATCATTTCAACCAATATGCTGGGAACATTCGACCTTTTAAACTTGTGGTTCAGTTGGGTTTTGTTGTTTTAAAGCAAAGTGAGTGTCTCCACAGTTACTGAGTATAAAATTAGGGTTGAAACAGTGCAGGAATCAAAGATTTGCCATAAAAGGCTGTGGGATTTCAGGATTAATCAGCGCTGGGTGTGAATGATCCACAGAGCTTTGCACTCCTGCTCTGTAAAGGGGAAGAACGGATAAGCAGGCTGCCTGAAAGGAGGTTTTGAATGAAAACACGATAGATAATCTTGGCTGCTTCATTAAATGCCTAATTTGCTGTTCAACACTGGAAAGTGCCATTTCTGCCTCTAACTTGGCTCCTACTTGTATAATGAGCATGCCTTCGTGGTTTAGGAGGAAATCAGCTTGCAGCAAATCACCTTGTTGGTTCAGTGACTTCGGCCCGCATGAAAACAACAGGTTCTGTACAGGCTGCATGTCTCTTCGTCTGTTGCTGTAAAAGTTCATTGTGTGCTATGGGACCAGTAATTTGGTAGGTTGTGAGTGAGCTGTGTGCTTCCTGGAGTTTCCGTAAACAGCTTCACAAATGTCAGTCTCACAAATAATTGTTAATCCCCTCAAGATGCAGCTGTAACTACTAAGTGCTTCCAATTTGATGTATTAAAACATCACATATTT